CTTATACGTTTTAACTCCCAAGAACGTAAATTTATTAAAGAGTATAGTCAAGTAAATATTAATATAATCGTTATCTTAGTGATATAAATAAATTTTAGGTTATGGAACTTATGAAAAAAGCTCTGAAAATCCTTGAAGGGGAGCTTCATATGGACATGGGTTTCCTAAGTCCTACCATTTTTAAACTCATTTCAAAATTAAATGAATTATCAGATTTAAGGTTTTGCCAACCTCTTGTAAAGTCTCTCATCAGCGGTATTAATAAAAGGTTTATAATAAAACATAAATTATATCTATTTAAATAACCTTATTGCAGATTTCCAAATATTTATAATGATGATAATATAATTGCAGCGATTGTCCATCCTGCATTTAAATTGAATTGGGAATGGATAAAAGATCCAAAAAATATGGAACTAAAAGCCAGATTAATTAATTTTTTAAGGAAACAAATACCCGACGGAAAAATAGCTACAACTAGTTCACGGGAACCTTGTAATGATTTGGAAGATTTCTTTGGATTCCATGAAATCGATTACCATGAAAATAATATATTGGATAGATATTTTTTAAATAATGATAGCAAAATTACTATTTTTGAACAATTCCATGAATTAAAAAATATTTATATTAAATACAATACCCCGCTTCCCTCTAGTGCTCCTGTGGAGCGCCTATTTAGTATCGCAAAACAGGTCTTAGGGGAGAAGCGTGGGTGTTTGTTAGATTCTAATTTAGAAAATTTATTACTTTTAAAAGCTAATAAAAGATTATAAATATTTTGATATATCATATAATATAAATAAAACGTTTTGATAAAAAAATATGATTTTGTTTCGTGTACCTTCTAAAAAAATGAAAATCAAAGGAGCGGTTATGGAGCGGCACTCCATTAGTTGGAGCGGGAGCGCTCCTTTTAATATGTAGTAGCGGGAGCGGGAGTTCGCTCCTTTTGAGAAGGTAGGAGCGGGAGCGGGAGTCGCTACTTTTAAAAAGGAGCGTTAACAAGACTGATTTTAATTATTAATATTTTTATTACAATTTTTGCCACCACTTAAATTAATATTTAGTTATAAAATAAATGAAATTAATTTATTTTAATTTATAAGTATCTATGAATAATATATGAAAAATATAAAAGAATCATAGCTCAAACATTTATTAATGTGTTTTCATCCATTTTAACCCTGATTATAGAATTTAATGACTGCTCAATAGAAATATTATGGCAAGATTTCAATAATGATGGAAAAATAGATTTGGGAAGCTTTAATTTTTCATAGTTAGGAATTCTTGTTCTTTTGAATGATGCCTTTCCAAATTAGCTCCATTGTAACCTGGGTGACTTAGCACTTATCTATATTACAGCTGATTCATTTAGAGAATATTAAGTAAAAAAGGAATGGCCTGAGTTTATGGTTCCGACCATTTAAATATTTTCTAAAGGAAATTAAATAAATATTTATATATTATCAACATAAATACAATAAAAAAAAATATGAGGTCAGAACAAACATCTATTCTAAGATTATGATATAGATAAACTAATTAGAATTCACAATTAATTTATAAAGCCACATCATGTGGATATTATTAGTTTAAAGATTTATAATTCCACACATCTAGGATTTAATATAAAAAGCAGATTTGAACAACTATGTAAATACTTTCATTTCAAGACAACACATTTTTAATAATAAAGGGTATAATAATGGTTAATTATGCTTACTACCTTAAGGTACTACTTTTCAAATTTGAATTTTGTTCATTTTTAATTTGGATAGGCACTACCAAATATATTTATAATATATATTTGAATAATCGTGATTTTTGGAAAGCCTCTATGGCCTAGTAGGCAAGAGCTTGGCTTACTGATCCTATGGTCCCGGGTTCGAATCCCAGGAATGGTCATGTTTTTTTTCTTATTCTAACTTGGTGGTTCCATCCTTGGGGGGATAATATATAGGAGGCCGGACTCGATCACGTGATTCCGTATTATTATATTAAATAATAAGGGTCTTATTACATTTTAATAAATTTTGGACGGTATTTAGCAAATTAGGTTGGTATTTAGAATATTTCCATACATTCACTTGGTAGTAAGCATCATTAACCTATAATAATCAGGGTTGCCAGATATTCTTCACTTGAAAACGTGAGTTTTCCTTTTAATAATTAATGGGGGACTTCGCCCCCATACCCTCCAATTTGCGGGCCTTCGGCCCGCTTTTGCCCGGGCTTCGGCCGGGGTAATTGATGTAGCATACTCATCTAAGTTAATATGTTATATTTTATATAACAAGATTTTAAAGACAATGAAAATTCTTTATTGATTTACTAATAACAATTATGATATATAATTTTCTCATTTATAGCATAATAATAATATTAATTATTATATTTTATGTATGATTTTAAAAGAGGCAATAAAGATTTCTCATCGGCACTGTGGAGATAGGCTGAAAACTCTTTGCATGAATAGTTATATTTTGTTTAACCATAAGTTCAGCTTCCAATGATGGCGTTCTTTTCGCCAAGCAGTAGTCATTAGACTGAATATTCTTTCTGATAATTGCATATTTTCTCTATCAGTGGTGAGTTTTTATTAGAAAGAAAATCCATCCATTTTTCTTGGGTATTCACGTGATAGTTTTTTGATAATTTTTCTTCATAATAGGATTAAAATTGAATATTCCTCAAAGAGAATTTTTGTATCTATGTTTGGTATTTTATAATTACTAATAATTTTTTGTAATTGTTCAAATTCTGGACATTATTTTAATGTCATAGGGCTAAGATATTTCCATATATTATCTATAATATCATAACGTTTTTCTACATATTCTATAATATTTTTTATAAATATCTTTGATTCATTTTTGAAATTTATTGCCTTTTCTACATCATTATTATGTTGTAAAATATTTTTAGAAATGCTCCCATAAAAATTTTGTTGAATTTTTAAATTTAATGAATTCTTTATTTAGGATAAGATCATGTATATATATTGCTAATACATCTTAAGATTGCAATTGTAAATTTATGTTATTGACTAAAGTGCCAACGTTAAGGACAACGCCTAAATATGCCTCTGCAAAATCATCTCCAAAAATTATTTTCAAAATTGGTGGGGTTGCTGATAATGATAAAAAATATTCTTTAAGGGGTTGAAAATACTTAAGCATCCGCTTAATCGCTGGGATTAATGTAGGCCAGCGTGTTGGAACATGGCGAAGTGATTCTGACCATTCTAAATTGCACCATTCTACCAATTCTTTTAAAACTGTAACTCTTCTTGTGGAGTTGCTAAATTAATTATATCATTTAATTACTATACTCTCAATATCATATTTAAGAAAAATTATGGCCTTTTTGAACGAATTGGTAAGAATGTGGCATATACAACCCATTGGTATAATATTATTACTATGGCTTTTCAATTCTGTCCAAATACTTTAATTTTTCACAAAATTTATAGATGCGTTATCTGCACGATAGGCCGTTACATTAGCAATATCAAGTTCAGCGAATTTTAAATTTTCTTGAAAGCATCTAGATATGTCTTTAGGGGTTTCACTGTCAGACGAAAAAATTTTAAGTAATTAAACATTTATTCCATTCTTTTTGTTGAAGTATCTAAGTAATAAGGGAAATGTTTTTATATTACCTTTATTCTATGCATCCGTTAGTATTGAAAACGGATGATTGTTTTTTAGATCTTTTATAATATTTGCCCTTAATTTATTTCATTTAAAATTTTACGTTATAATATAAGATTTATAAAATCCATAAAAGAAATGTATAGTTATTTAAATTCATATTATAATTATACTTGATAAACTTTCTAAAAATTGAATTTCTGTTGTGGGTAATTGATCAATGAATATGATTGGTTAGTTGGACTATTAACAAATACTACAATTTTTTTAAATATTTTAAAATAAAATTAATTTAAAATTTTATATTTTTGAAAAAATTTAAAAACGTGAGAAAAAGTGTGAGACTAAGTGTGATTATTTTAATTTACTCAAAAAACGTGAGAAAAGCGTGAAGTGTGAGATGGGTAAGTAAAAAATTAGGTATGAAATCGTGAGAATCAAGGCTAAATCGTGACATCTGGCAACCCTGATAATAATACTAATGATTTAAATTATACTATAATGGTCATTTTAAAAATTATATGGGAATTAATGACCCTTCTATCAAACTAATCATGAGGTGGTGTTATTAAAATAAATCAAAAATCTACAAATTGGTTATCTAGATATTTTGCATAGGAAAATAGGAATATTATATGGCTCTGATACTAGAAGAAGCAGTTGAAAGACTTTGGATCAATTTAAATCATAGTAAAAAAATTAATACATATTTTTGGATATCAAACAAATATTTTGATAATTTAATAATTATATGCGGATATAGCAAAAATTTGTAATACAACAAGGAAAAGAATGTAAATGAAAAAAAAAGTAAAATTATTTATTTTATTCATTTACAATTCTTTTTACTCCTTCAAAAAATTATTATATCGGTTCCGTTAAGGTTACGGTTCAGATATTTTAAAATAACGGTTTCGCGGTTTATTTCATTCCGGGTCCCTGTATTTCTTCATCATGTTTTGCACTTTAAAAAAAATTATACGAACCAAATTATATTGTAGAGAGTAGCTAGTCTGACATTTTATATAGATTATACGACTCAATTAAAATAAAAATTTTAATTTCCTCATTTCCTTATTTAAATATTTTTTTTAAAAAAAAATTAATTTAAAATTTATACATTTTTATTTTTTTAATATTATTAATCCCTTTAAAAAACGATATCTCACAGGCAAAGACTTTAAAAAAAAAATCATTTAAAATAAATAACGAACATTTTTATGGAAGGCCAGTTTTCGTTTTTAAATAGGATATTTATTTACTACTTAAAACAAATCAATAATAACATTGATATAATTGTCATTAAAATAAAAATATATTGATTGATTTTTTTCCTTTTTATAAAAACATTTCTCAAATACGCTTGTTAGTAATATAATTTTATTTCCATGATTCAATTCTAATTCTAATAACAATATTCAAACCATGACGATGCATAAATTTGGAAAATTCTCTTTTTCTATATTTTGGACATTAATAAAACTATTGATCGGTAAATAACAAACTAATTATTTTTACTATACATTGTAATTTATTTAGAATACATATAACTGAATTTTTTTAGTGCTTTGTATTGTCAATGTGGTCACTGGTCGTCTTAAAAATAAGTCTATTAAAGTTACGCGCATGTCCTCTACTGTTTTGACTACAGCAGCCAAAACAATCGAACAGAGTACAGTTACAACAACCACAGACCCACCTTCAACTTTTTACCCCGACATAACTCCCTCCCCAGTTCCCACAATTTTCACTCGCGCCAACTCTTTTGCCGCCAAAATTAACGCCTTTGCGCTTAATATTCTATCGACGCTCGTGCATTCTACATCCGTTACTGAAGTTACCAACGAAATTGACGGCGTCCATTCAACACCCTCTTTATCAAACTACTCCACATCAAATGTTTTCCCAAATGGCGCTACATTCAAATCTGGGCTTGTCGTTCAATCTAATTTAGCATTCTCTCCCACTAGCTTGGCTACTGTCCTGATTATGATTTATTTAGGCAGTGGGGGTACCACTAGCACTGAGATAACACGCTTGCTAGGGCTTTCTAGGTTCAGTCGCAAGGATTTTGACGGCTTCCCAGTGTTTCTTTCGGGTCTTAACACTATTCGTTCTCTCGGGAATGTGGTATTGAACGCTCAAAGACTGGTTGTTCAATCCAACATTATCGATGATGGAGTCCACTTTGAAGTAAATCCATTTTACTTGAGTTCCCTAAAACAAAATTATAAGGCCGACCTAACGAGAGCCAATTTTGTAAACGATTCTGTCAAAGTGGCCCGCGAAATCAACGAATGGGTTGCAAACATGACTCAGGGTCATATTAGTGAAATATTGAGAGCGGAATCACTACATTCTTTTACACGAATGCTCATTCTTGACATTACTTATTTTCATGGTGAATGGGAGAAAGCGTTCGATGGTTCAAGCACTAGCTTAGAAAAATTTTACGTACATGCTAACAAGACTATCGAAGTTAGTATGATGAAGCGCAAAGGTAAATACAAGTCGGGGTACCTGCAGAGCATTAGGTAATTATTAGGAAAGGAAATGTAAGAAAATATTTGAATTGGCAAGGTTATAAAAACAAAGAAATCCCTATCATTTAGTAATAACAAACACAAACAACCGCTTAGCCAAATAAATTAAAATAATCTAAATCAGAATAAAAGTTTATTAGTTAGATAAATGGCCCTATTTCGGCATTTATAAATTATTAACCATATAAGAAAACGATTGGATAATGGCTGGATAAATAGTATAATAGCTGATGACAAAAAATTTATAAAAAAAATACATTTAAATTGCCAAAATAATTTTTCATAGAGAAATAAATTTTTCTTATAGGTAAAAATACCTCATAAACTATTGTATATTAATTAATATAATAGTAAAATTTACTTTCTTTATACGTAAATCCTTAAGCGCTCAATTCTTGGAAATTCCTTTTAAAAACTTTGAACTGAGTTTCTACATAATGCTTCCCGATCATTACAACGGTCAGAACCTGAGCTCCCTGATCGAAAAGCTCGACATTTTTCAACTCAACCTTATGCTTCAAAATATTCCCACTTTTGATACCAGGATAGAGGTCCCAAAATTTTCTATTTCTAGTAATTTAGACATGAAGATTCCATTTAAACGCTTGGGTAGGTCAATATTTTTAATGATGCAATTATATAATATTGGGAACATTTTATCGAATATTTCCTATATCCTGATTTCGTTTTTTCTTAAAATTATTTTACACTTATGGCAAGATTTTATATATATGATTCTCGGCTTAGCCAGAGAGACCATAGAAATATTAGGGCTATTTAAAGGGGCTTCGGAAAACTTAAGGCATAAATGAACATTAAGAGTGATATAAAATCTTATTGTTATGAAACAAATAAAAAAAATATATCATAAAAACGAATTTTAATGGTTTTCAAAATTTATTATAGAACCAAGAATTACTTTATTTTTTAAATTTAAAATGTTTGAAATAGTATAAAGTTTGATGATATAAGGGACTTAGCACCATCGGTAATTTTAATCAATGTAGGGAGTGGAATCAACCCGATTAGTGCAGTTAATTCATGGTTAGATACATATGTATAAATAAATATTAATTGCTTTTTTTGTCAAATTAATAAAATCAGTACCAACGTAAATTTTTATATGCTCTATATATATGACATCACTTGGAACACTTGATACTTTTTTATGTGTCATGAATATAAATTTAAATTATAAATTTGGGATAAACAAATAGGTCTATCAGCTCTCTTTGACTCTGATAAGGCTAATTTGTCAATGATGATAACGAATTCTAGCTCTCCTTTATTTGTATCCGAGTTCAAACATAAAGTTTCTTTTAGTGTGGATGAACGAGGTTTAATTCTTATTTTTAAAAATATTTTAATATATCCGCTTACCAAAAATAATAATTAAGTAATTCTTATATTTTTATAAAATATAATATTATATCCGCTTTCCACAAATAATGATTACAGGATCTAGATAACATTGTTTTTAATAATATATTTTTAATTTTATTAGGCTTTCATTATTATATATTATAATTATACTTCAAAATTTGGACAATCAAATATTTTGATAACTTTAAATTGGTCAACAGAATTTCAATGAATTTTGTACTATATTTTTATGTTTGCTATTTAAAACACAAGGAGCTAAGGGTGCGGCCGTGTCTCAGGCAATAATAGAAGCTCGAAGTTCAATCGAAGATGAGTTTATTGCTAACAGACCTTTTCTTTTCATAGTAGTAGACAATAGAGTATTATCGATCTTATTTTTAGGCATTATAAATACTCCAAATCCGGCCAAGGACTAGAGCCAAGATATATATGATGTGGATTAAAATTTAAATTCTCAAATTTGTGATTTTTAAAAATATATACCATTTTTTAAGGATATATCATTTTTTTAACCATATTTACAATATATTCTTGCTTTAAAAGACATTTTTTTATATAAGTATTTTTTTTAAACACCATTATTACGTGAACCATATAACCATCTGTATAACACGTAAATAATCATGAGTTCATCAAATAACGTAACTTTGTACATTTTTATATTATACAAAATTATTCATGTTTTTTAATTATAATAATATACCATTTTTATTATGACTCTTAATTTGAAAATAAAGATATTTAGGATTTTTAAGGAAAATATTTATTTTTTCAAATATACTAGTAAATATCACGCCATGGTTATGCATGAATTTGGAATATGCTGTGAGAGGGGAAGGGTGATAATTTTTATTTTAAAGAAAATATTCTTGTAATTTGAAAATATTTTATAAGATTTGTTGTAATATGTAAATTTACTTTAAAATAAAATCGAGAAAAAAGAAGTAATATTCAAATCGACTGTTAAACAGAACGAAACGAATTATTATATTATTTGAGTAAAGACGATGTAAATGAATAGGATAGAAAAGTATATATAATCGAGGATATTTTACTTGTTGAAATTTATTATGAATTTGCGAACATAATTTTTAATTTTAATTTTTTTATTTTAGTTATGATTATGTAATTACAATTTAGTTAATTTATTTTTACTATTTATTTGTATTCTCCTTAATTCTCAACTACAACATTTGTTAATGAAACATTATGTTTTATGGGCATATTCAGTCTAAATAACTCTCATAATTTGACAAGTTTCATAAATCTAATAGGACTTATGATCATTTCGAATAATTCAAATTAATGATTTATAAAAATTAAACGTATATAACCTGCGAATTAGAAATTGCCATGAGGGAATGAGCAGCACGAGCTCTATCATACCCTTACCCACGTATCAAATTTATATTTAGCCATCTTTTCCATCAAATATTACATCAGCTAAGGCAGACCCAGTCATGCTTGAAACAAGATTAAATTGAAGGAACATTTCTTTAATAATATTAATTTAGGTTCAATGTATCTGCGCACAATGACATCTGCTCAATGCCTAAAATATTTGGATTGAACTGCCAAATTTGAGAAGCAGGGGACATATTGATTTCATATTAATTTTTTTAGAATGATATTCTTGCAAATATCAATGATATGTTGCATTTTTATTGCTGCTTGAGGCTTTTATGCAGATTCTGTTATGTTTTAAATTTACAAGATCACGAAAATTACCTTCATTATTATTATCATTCAAGCTTCCTAAATCTAAATGACCGCGTAAGGCTAGGTCCTGCAATCCACAATATAGTATGCCCTTAATAGTTAATTTTTTTTTACATCTATTTTCTTGTGCTATTTTAAACCAATTTTTATCAATATGTGATGATGGAAATTATATCCCCACTTCTTTGAATTAATTCCTTTGAAGAAATATGAGTTCACAGCTTTTGTGTTGATGATTTTCAAAAGTATCTTCTGCACCTTTGAACCTGTTGAATTCATATCTTGAATATGCTCCATTAACTTGGATAGAATATGCAATCAACCATCTGGTAAAATAGCTGTTTTGAAATTTTAATTTTATATTAGCACAAATAGTTTATGGATATTGATAATTGAGGTATGAGATATAAATCTATTATTATTAAATATTTATAATACATATCTTTAATATTCTTTAAGAATTATATGTCTTTCTTCTAGGCTAATTTTATCTTTATTTAAAAAATTGATATCGAATGGGTGATTATGGTGCTCTTATAAATAGTGAAAATGATAAGATATTAGCCCTCATAAATAGGATAAAATAAAATAATTGGTCACAATTTATTATTTAGATTAGTGATCTGCATCGAGCCTAATCTAAGCCTGGCCCGATATAATTTTTTTCGCCCGGCCGGGTGTAACATGTGAAAGCGATCTATAAGTTCTAAATCTCACACCATCAAAATCCCACAGATTTGATATAAATGGCCCCTAATGGTTTTGAAGCGATTAATCTAAAAATATTTTCATGACATGAATTTAAAATTATCAACATAGTATAGAGAAATTAATGGTATATAACCTAACTGCTTAGTAGTTATAATCTATGTTTTAGAACAATATTTTAATGCAAGAGATATATGGTTTTATTTAAAGAGCTCATCTTTATATTTTTAGATTATTAGATCAAATAATGGGAGATATAATAAACATCAGCAATAAAGTAAAAGGTGAAATTTAATTTCTATTTTTTATATATATATAAAGCCGATTATTTATAATTATATACAAATAAAATTACTTCCTATTGTAGTCGATGGCTTTGTTAGATATTATAATATTGCCTAACCTGAAAATCGGGTTCGAATTGTACATCCATATTTTTTTTTAAATTTAGGTTGTTTTTCTTTTTTTATTTATCTAAACTAGGTATAATATTTAAAAGCCCGATGCTGCCTATCTCTAGTCTGTACTTTATATTTTTAGTCTTTATTTTATACCAAAAAGTGTCTGGGTAGATATGGTTAAGAAAATGAATAGTCTCGAATCAATAATCATGAGTGTTACCTAGGCAATATATTAATATTATTATTATTTATCATTTGTAGTAATTGTAATTATAGTTTAGTAATTTTGAGGAAGGGAAAAGATCCTTACTAACATTCTAATTTATAAAATGATATGAAATTTATAGAATAATTGTAATACAAGTTTAAGTTAATTTGGTAAAACAAAAGACTCTGATCCCATTAGCTATTCAGAGGCGTCTTAACTTTCTCTCCTCAGATTTGGTGCATCATGTAGATTATATTAATTTATTGACAAAAAGTAGTATGCAATTGATACATAGCTTCTACATGACCTAAAATTTATTAGAGACAACCCTTCCCCCCCCCCGAAAAAAATAAATAATTTTTTTACCCTACCTTCTAAAAATTATTAGACCTATGTAGACACTGCAAAGAAACAAGAAAAAATCTTTTAAATAGCTTAATCTTAAAATATAATTATATATAAGTAATGCTTATTTTATTTACCTTTGGAATATAATTAAATAATTATTAAAAATTGGAGGATATTTTTTTTTGTAATATAAAATACGAATTATTCAAAAAGAATTAATCCATTTTCTGCCATCCTAGTTTACGACAGAAATTATTCTATAAAACAATTCAAATGTATTTTAATATTATTTTATACTTATATTTGAATTGGGTCACTAATATTAAAATAAAGGTTATTGCCACTCTCGGGGGGTATATTACTTTTTTATATTTTATTTTTTTTTGTTATTTTTTTTATGTTATTTTTTTATGATATTTTTGAATCCCGGAAAAAAAACCCCTGGAAAAAAACCCCGGAAAATAAACTCCCGGAAAATAAACCCCCGGAAAATAAACCCCCGGAAAATAAACCCCCGGAAAATAAACCCCCCGGAAAATAAACCCCCGGAAAAAAAACCCCTGGAAAAAAACCCCGGAAAATAAACCCCCGGAAAATAAACCCCCGGAAAATAAACCCCCGGAAAATAAACCCCCGGAAAATAAACCCCCGGAAAATAAACCCCCGGAAAAAAAACCCCTGGAAAAAAACCCCGGAAAATAAACCCCCGAAAAAAAAACCCCTGGAAAAAAACCCCGGAAAATAAACCCCCGGAAAATAAACCCCCGGAAAATAAACCCCCGGAAAATAAACCCCCGGAAAATAAACCCCCGGAAAATAAACCCCCGGAAAATAAACCCCCGGAAAATAAACCCCCGGAAAATAAACCCCCGGAAAAAAACCCCCGGAAAATAAACCCTCAGGAAAAAAACCCTCGGAAAATAAACCCCCAGGAAAAAAACCCCCGGAAAATAAACCCCCAGGAAAAAAAACCCCCCGGAAAATATTCCCCAAGAATTTTTTTTCATTTTTATAGAATTTACAATAATATAGGTATATTTATATTTGGCTTACTCTCCATAAAAAAATGCTTAAATAAGAAAAACTGATGTTTAAATTGGTACTGGGAAAAAATGCCTCAGTAAAATAACTATGTATTGTAAAAAAAATTTGCTATAGTAAAAATACAATACCATCTTTAAATATAATATTAAATAGACTAAATTTGACAAAACTTAAAAATAAGAAATGTTTATTTAATTGGTAAATCATGATTATGTATATACAAATTTTATAATTTATAATAATAATTATATGGGTTGACATCGAATATTGAAGGAAATCGCTCTTATAAAATCTGGAAGGCTTCGCACCCCATCACGGTATTCTTCGCAAAGTTTCTTTAGCTGAATCTGGTTGTTAGAACTCTGCGATTTTGTTTTCGATGTCCAACTACCTACGCGCCATCTTTCAAGTGTGGTTTCATCGGCAGCCACCTTGCATTTCATTTTTTAAATGAGTACCCAGATTGATGGGTGTTTATTCCCAACCAGATTAAAAAAAACGATGATTCCAACCTTCGCAATGATTATTTGTTCGTTCTTCATCTGAGAGAGTGCTCTGATTCTTGTTCCAGGTTTCTATTCGACGTGTTTGGGATTGAGAATTGCTTCTTATGACCTCCCTTGATACTCCATTGACATAATTTTTATCGAAATAATCAAGAATATCCTTACAATTGCTCGGAGTAACCGATCTCAGGAATGTCATTGCATTGTTCATATCACATAACGGAACGAATGCTAAGCCGTCCATCATGCCACAAAAAAAACTTAGAGTTTCATCGGTCCTGTATTCGCTTTCCAGACCAAGCTTCTGAATTTTTCTATAGGTACTTTAACACAAATGGTACACAATAAACCGCTGTGATAAAAATATTGTTTATTGCTACTCTAATCACATATAATTGTAGAAAATTTTTTAGGGACATGGCAAAATTACCATCCATATACCACTCTGTCCTATTAGATATTAGATTCAAGGAATCATCTGTTGCGAACATTATTATGCGTTCTTCAGCTTGTGGGCCATTATCAAATAATAAAAATCGTTTTCAGTTCTGGGAGCCACAATTTGCCCAATCACCTATAATATTTAAATTTTTATGAAAATATAATTATATTTAAACTAATACCTTCAATAACTATTCCAAATTCTCAAGATTTGAGGGTGTTGCATTGCTTTGTGATTTCTTAGAGTTCTTTTTATAGAATCTTCCGATAACATATGCGACTGAACTCTTTGGTCTAATTTTACAATTTCCTCTGCATAAATTTGAAGAGGTTTTGCCAAAGAGTCTGCACATCGCTTCTTCGTGTTAGCAATGGATTTCATTGCT